ATGGGTCATTATTCAGTATTATCGTTACTGAGGGCAAAACATGAAATTCCATTTTTGGCAGATTCCAATTAATTTCCTTGGTGGGTCAAGGAACCTTTCAAGATTTACAATCCCTCAAGACACAAAACACCTTTCATTTTTTTTTTGAAGGCTCTATTCTATTTCATCTATTTCCCTGGCTCAAATCTTCATGACTCTTTGCTCATATTTATCGATGGAGATGCAGCCACCACGCTGGCCACCTGTCAGAAAGTGGCAATTAGTTTAGCATGTCACAAATCAGCTGTTGAAACTGTATGTACACTATATGTTCATAATATAGTATTATTGCTATCAATGAAGAGGCTACCACGTATTTCAGAAACCACTGTAACAGAAATTTGATTAAAGAAATGGGAGTAAAAAAAAGAGATGTAGACACACCAGGGCCTGCATGATCTCTTTGGTGAGAATAGATGTTACTCAACCAAACCATCGTATCACATTACATAGAGACATCACAGTATGATGGGTAAGACACAGCTTTGATATGAGGCACTGCAAACCTTTGCTCTGCCATGTATCAATACTTGCTATGTCCTTAAGCAGGTTATTTAGCCTGTCTATGCCTTAGTGTTCTCATTTATAAAACCAGGGATAACAATAATACCTACTTTATTGGTTTTTCTTAATAAGAATCAAATAAAAGTGAATTTAGAACTCTTAGCTAAAAAAAATAAGCAGTCAATAAGTACTTTTAAAATTTATGGTTAGTTTTTTTCTATCTCTTTCTTCATAGATTATGTATCTTTTTCTCTCTGTCTTTGGACCTGATCATTCCAATACTCTCACCAACACGAGGTGTTTACCTATCTTTAGAAAACTACCTTGGCTTCATAGTAACTACCTTAGTGTTTTCTATCTCAGACTTTAGGATTTCATCTTAGTTCACTTCAGACACCCTCCAGGCATGCAGCAGTGTATAATGGGAAAAGATTCAGACATGGTGCTATCAAATAGAAATAAAACATATGCCACATGTGTACTTTTATATTTTCTATTAGGCACATTTAAAAAAGAAAGGATCAACCAGATGCAGTGGTTTTGCCTGTAGTCCCAGCCCTCAAGAGGTTGAGGAAGGAGGATCACTTAGGCTCAGGAGTTCATGCCCAGCATGGGCAACATAGCAAGACCCAACCTCTTGTAAAATAAAATTAGAAGAAAAAGAGAAAAAAGAAACAGTTGGAATTTTAATAATATACTTACTTATGTGAATATATCCAAATTATTATGATTTTAACAAGCAGCAATCACCACATTTCAAGTGTGCTATAACTACATGTGCTTGCTACATAAGACAGTACAGGCTTAGACTCAAATGAACATGGATTCAAATTCCGGCCCTGCTTTTCACTTGCTCTAAATCTGCTTCTTTATGTTAAAAATCACTATCTCCAGATATTGTGAGAATTAAATAAAACCGGCATATTCAAAGCACTTAGCACAATGCCTACTTACAGGCATTCTCATTAAATGAGAATTCTCTTACCCCAACCTTCTACTATAGAACTGAATACTGGCTCAATATAGTGAAATCTGTGATCTAGGCCTTCTTCCTTCCTTTCTCGCTCTCTATAAACTGTGGCCTTTTCTCCCACCCACACGCTCTCCCTCTTTGCTTCCTAGCAACTATAAATTTGACTCAGTAGAGTTATTTCTAGAAGCCTCGAACCCTTGTAGTCATGACCCAAGTATGTGATTTCAAGAAACTAAAAAAAACTCACGCCTGAAAGAGAAATTCTACCATCTCCTTCTCCTCTGCCCCTGTTGAATCCACCTCCCCAGCTGGCCCTACTGCCTACTCAGACAGAGTTCTCCCTCATTCAGGGGTTCCCACTGCTGCAGCTTCCTCAGCCTCAGCAACTGCCATCAACATCAGTGCTTCTCCATTAAAAGAGAGTCTAGAACCAAACATTAAGAGAAGCTGAGCAGCATTTTGCGAAATAACTGGCCAGTACCCTTTAAAATTGTCAATGTCACAAAAGACAATGATTAAGGAACTGGCATATATTGGAGGTGACTAGAGAGCCATAAAAAATGAAAATATGGGGTCTAGAGTAGAATTTTTGCCCCAAAAAAGGACATCAGTGGAAAAACAGGTAAAATTTGATTAAGGTCTACAGATTAGACCTAATAATATTCTACTGATATCAATTTCCTGATTTCGATAATTGAATTATGGTTCTATATAATGTTAATATTAGGGGATTTATAGGAACTCTATACGATTTCTGCAATATTTCTTCAAAATAAATAAAGTAAAATAAGGTTAAAACATTGTTAAATGTGATTATTTAGACTTTATTATGAAAGAATCTCTGTCCCAATGGACTTGTTAAGTGATATATTATTGTGAAATAACGCTACTTACACTAAGCCAGGAAGGCCATCACAAAGGTTAATGAAAAGTCAATTCCAAGATATAGAAAATCCACCTTAATCACCACTGTTAGTTCATAAATCCACTAAGAAAGTATGATGTCACCTACATATACTGAGGAGTTGATGATACCAAATCAGTATTTTGTGTGACCAGTAATGTTATTAAATAAATATAGTTACTGAATAACATACTTAAACAATAACTCCACTGTGACCAACTTTTTACAGAAAGAAAGGGACGGGAAAAAATAAGAAATATACACAAAAAAATAATATGCACCCACCTCCCTCCACCAGACCTCCCATGCTTTAGGAAACAACGCTGGTTGACCAACTCTGAACAAAACCCATTGCAATAGAAAGGACGGTCTGCTTTGCTATAGTATGTTTCTCTAACATAAAGTAACATAGACAATTGGTAAATGAAGAAAAGATTTCAGTGTAATGCAGAAGTTATATTGGTTCATATGTAATTTTTTTCCCAGATCATTAATGTTTTGCCTTATTATTAGTAAAGGCAATTGAAGGCTATGTACGCTAATGGCAGCAAACCAGGAAGGAATCCATATTATAACATTCAACCCTTCTCTTAGAAGTGCTATTGCAGTTAACCCTGATCTTTGTTAATAGATAAATAAAACAAAGTAATACAAAACAAAAGCAGGGCATACAATCTGGTATCAGTACATTTTGTACAATAGCTTACAAACTTTTCTCTACTTATGACTTCTGATTTTAACGTCTTTCTGCCCTTGTATGCACAGATAGCCTCAACCCTTCCTTATACCTTATTCAGTATCAGATTTTTTGTTTCTTTCTCAAAGTAACAATATTGCTTCATGATCATCTGTTGTTAAATATATAATACCAGTGACCAAGCACTCTTTTATGTAAATGGCTCCTCTAGGAACAAGCATATGAAAGTTTGTGTTATTTGTCCATGACAAAGATATAGCACATAACTGAATCATTAAAAACACAGTTCAACTGGAATGACTGTAATTTATATATGAATCCCAATTTGGGTAGAATAGTTTTGAAGTTAATGTATACAATAAATATCAATCACTATGAATATTTCATAAAAGGATAGTGTGCTCTTTTTAATATACTCCATGACATGGTAGGGTACTTTTATGGACCCATGCAACCCTGAATATCAAGGAGCCTTGTTTGAGTTTTCAATTATCTATTCAAGTCCCCTTGGTTGGAGATAGTCAGCATGTTTCTCACGAGGGGGAAAAAAATACTGCACATTTGTCTGTGTATAGTGTGACCTCTTTCACTTGGGTGGGTATCCTTTCCATCACCAACTAAGTGAGGATGTAACCTTGTCAAACCAAAGGCAAAAGAATAATAAGCATACGACAGGCTAAGCCAGCATAGGAAGGTTGTTTAGGAGGTTGCAAAGATAATACTCTGAATGACAAAATAAAAGTACACTTCAAAGAGCAGGTTAATATTTTTAAAAGCACTCAAAACCTGAGAAGCATTTAATATCCCTCCTTGGATGTCTGCCATACAAAACTCCACTTGAATTTATTTCATTAGTCACTAACCAGATTTGGTTAATATGTTTTCAAATGAATACTGGTAGAATAGTCTTGAAAGAAACACATTTATAGAATATCTATTTCCATAAAGCACTAGCCAACAGTAAGTATGAATAAGCAGGTGTTGGTTTGCTTTTACCAAACAATTACAAGTTACTATCCAACAGAAAAAATCCTTCCAATTCAAAAATCAGAAATATAAATGGGAAAAGTCTTTACCCAATATTTTTACTGTCGCCAAGACAAATGGCAGTAACACTGCTACATTAATTGCTGCCCCTAACTGGCATAACAGGGAATCATACTAAACCATTTTTGTAAGTATCTGAAACCAGAAGAAATTAGACAAGTTTGGCTGCAGTCTTCCTAGAGTAAATTTAAAGCAAACAAACAAAAATCTCCAAACCATTTAAGCATGTCCTAGGACTATGTATTATATCATCACGTCAGTTATGCACAGCTTGACATTCCTTTTCTACATTAAGACCGGAATGAAATTTTTATTTCTGACCAGTCATAATATTGTAACAGTGAAACAGTGCCACCTATTGGCCCCAAACAGAAGCATCCAGTACTAGTCTTTCAAACTTCCTTTTTCATTAAACTCCTGATATATATAAACGTCAATTATTTTCATGTCACAATTATCACCTTCTAGGAATACTTTTTAGCTATACAAACCAAGAAAACATTGGGCTAACAAAAAAAGTTGCTTACCAAGATGCAAAATTTCAAAATATTCCAAAGTAATACTAAATGCATATATCTTTAATAATTTCTAATCAACATTTCATTAAACACATTTTAGCCAATCCAAATATGTTAGTCAACAAACATTTTAAATGCAAAAGAAAAATTTCCTTTTATAGCATTCTTACATTGCAAAATTCATTTTTTAAAAACACATATTTAACCTGAATTCAATTTAATAATGGGCAACATGATATTAACAATGGATTACCAGTTAAATCAGCATAAGTATAAATAATTTTATATACAAATATATCATGCTTCTGAATTACTCACACCAATGATACAATGTCACCACGGTGTACTTCAAAATTCCTCACTTTCCAGTGGTTCAAAAGCACCACATCAGATGACTGGCTCCCCCCAGGATTCAAAGAAGGCTAGAAAATAAGGAGAAAAAGACATATCTATCATTTGCATTTTTCAATCTTCATGGTTCTTGCACTTCATAGCTCAAGTGGAGTGAAATAAAACATTTCTAATACAGTACCTTTCTATAAATTGCTGTTCTAAAGTAACTACAAATTATGAGTTCTCAAAAAGGCTTGTTGGGATTCTTCACAGATGAACCAGAAAAAAATGAATTGCCAATAGGTATTTGAAAGGAGCATGTGCCAGACATTAAAATCTTTAGTAAACTCTAGTAATGAGGTAGGAAAAGACTTAAGAATAGTATAAAAAATTGAGGAAGAAGTGAGTCAAACGTCCTAACAAAATATTCATATAGGATCTAATTCCACGGTAGTACACACCATTGTTCTATCTGGGGAAAAGAGGAAATAATCCCAATTCACAATCATAACCACAAATCTTTAAGGTCATATGAAGAACTGAAGGGGACAAAAGAAAGAGGTGACAGGATTATCATTTTAAAATGAATGGATTTCCCATGTTGACCTGTCTTTTCTCAAAAGAGCACATGTCCTAAGGGTCTTGGTCCCAGTTTGAGCCTAATAAGGGGCCTTCATCCTAAAATTCAGAGAAGTCTTACTGTGCCTGAGAATTAATGGAGCAAAAACTAAGAAACAGTTTGTGTAAGAATTTTTCTAAAGGTCAGGAACCATATAGGCATAAAAATTTGATTGGGGAACCATGAAACCAGCATACCTGTCATTTGGACAGGGGTACAGACAAAGCCAATGAATAACAAGCTTGAGGCAAGAAAAGGGGGACAAAAGAATGAGAAAAGCTGAGACAGCCTTTTCACTGTTTTTCAATTTTTTTTTTCCTTTTTTATTTTGATAGGTTTTGTAGGCAAATGGATGTTCAGTTACATGAATTAAGTTCTTCAGTGGTGATTTATGAGATTCTGATGCACCCATCACCCAAGCAGTGTACACTGTACCCAATGTGCAGGCTTTTACCTTTCAGTACCACCCACACTTTCCCCCAAGTCCCCAAAGTCCAATGTATCATTCTTATGCCTTTGTGCCCTCATAGCTTAGCTCCCACATATCAGTGAGAACATACAATGTTTGGTTTTCCATTCCTGGCTCACTTCACTTAGACTAATCATCTCCAATTCCAACCAGATTGTTGTGAATAACATTATTTTGTTCCTTTTTATGGCTGAGTAGTATTACATGATATATTTATAGACCACATTTTCTTCATCCACTTGTTGACTGATGCGGCATTTGGCCTGGTTCCATGTTTTTGCAGTTGCAAATTATGCTGCTATAAACATGTATGTTCAAGTATCTTCTTCATATAATGACTTAATTTCCTCTGAGTAGATACCTAGTATTGCTAGGAATTGTTGGATCAAACAGTAGATTTACTTTTGTTATTTAAAGAATCTCCACACTGTTTTCCACAGAAGTCGTACTAGTTTTACATTGCCACCAACAGTGTAAAAGTGTTTCCTTTTCACCACATCCACACCAACATCTATTATTTTTTTTATTTTTTTATTATGGCCATTTTTGTAGGAGTGAAGTAGCACTGCATTGTGGGTTTGATTTGCATTTCCTGATAATTAATGATGTTGAAGATTTTTTTCATATGCTTGTTGGCCATTTGTATATCTTCTTTTGAGAATTGTCTACTCATGTCCTCAGCCCACTTTCTGATGGGATTGGTTTTTTTCTTGCTGATTTGTTTGAATTATGACTCTCCAAGAGTGCTTCCACGGGAAATGGCCATTTCTGTGGTGATAGGAAAGGTGCCAAACAACAACTGAGGTTCTCCACCCTCCTCGCGGGGCTGATGACAGCAGCCAGTGGAGACACAACCACAGGCACAGCAAAAGCAGGGAAAACAGTGAACGCGGGGCAACAGCCAGTCCCTGGAGCAGTAATGACACGTCTTTTGTTAAAGATTCCTGGGATTATTTGTAGATTTTCTAAGAAGAAAGAGTTGACAAATATGTCAAAATTCTTCGTGGAGCCTATTATCCTGACATTATTTTTGATCCAGGGCTTTGTAGCTGAAAAATATTGGTTATCCTTGAACATCTCAAACACTGCCAGAGCTTTCACCAACTCCTTTATGTGATAATACCTAAATCTCTGCTTTAAATCTCAGTTTTAAATTCCCTGCTAGTCATTCTGTAATCAGGTTTTCTTGGGTGCTGGTGAGGCACAGCTCCCCCGAGAGAATGCTGTGGGTTCTTGGTCTCCAATCTCTCAGAGAATAAGCAATGGCTGCGCCGTATGCTCCTAAAAGTAAATATCGGACCCAAGAAGTGTTGCAGAAAGGTGATTTTATTTAGCTAAAGAGAAGAAGAGAAAGACTTCCATGGTGTGGAAGGGGATTCCAGAAGGGAAATTCCAGAGGGGAAAGGGGGCTCCCACCATGTGGGAGGGGATTCCAGAGAGCTGTGTGTGAAGGAGTAGGGGAATTTATCCCGGGAGAAAGTCCCACCTTCCCAAGTTCCTCTGGCCAATAAAAGGAGTTCCTTTAAACTTCTGCTGGGGTGATTGACTCTTAGTCTCTTCCTGCGCCCGCGAAATTCAAATATAAACCATTAAATCTCCTGGATGGAGAGAGATGGGAGGGGTCGTGGCACTGGGAAATTCTTGACCTTAAAACTACACCCCCTCATGGACCCGGAAGGAGAACACATTCCCTCAATTTCACTTGACTACCTGACAAAAAATTCAACAGGATTAAAATGGAATTTGTTATCATTTCCTAACAAATAAAGTTTTCTTCCTTTTTTTTTTTTTTTTTTTGGAGACAGAGTCTTGCTCTGTCACCCAGGCTGCAGTGCAGTGGCACAATCTCGGCTCACTGCAACCTCCGCCTCCCTGGTTCAAGCAATTCTTCTGCCTCAGCCTCCCAAGTAGCTGGAACTACAAGTGCACCACCACACCCAGTTGTATTTTTAGTAGAGATGTGGTTTCACCATATTGGCCAGGCTGGTCTCAAACTCCTGAACTCGTGATCCACCTGCCTTGGCCTCCCAACATGCTGGGATTACAGGCATTAGTCACCTTGCCTGGACTCTTTTTTTGTTTCTTTTAAAGAGGGTCTCGCTGTTTTGCTCAGACTGAAGTGCAATGCCATGATCATGGCTTACTGTAGCCTTGAATGCCTGGGCTCAGTCTCCCAGGTTCCCATGTAGCTAGGACTACAGGTTTACAAGTGCATACCACCACACTCAGCTAAATTGGTTTCGTTTTTTTTGAAGTTTATTTGTTTTTGTTTTATGGGTTTTTTGGTACAGATTGGGGGATCTTGCTATGTTGACCAGGCTGGTCTCAAACTCCTGGCCTCAAGCAATCCTCATGCCTTAGCATCGCAAAGTACTGAGACAACAAGTATGAGCCACTATGCCCAGACCGTTCTTATTTTCTTACTTCCTGTCTACCCTTTTCTCAGTCAACCAGCTTAAAAATCTTAGTTGTCTTTTCACTAATCTAGAAAACATATTCTAGATAAGTATAGTAAGACATTTTTTGTGTCTCAACAAGTTAGGCAATTTAAGAGTTAGAAATAGTTGAATAGGGCTTTATTATTCATAATGAAATAATGGTAATCACAACACATTAAAATATCCTTATTGTTTATTTATGAATCTAACACTTATGAATATCAACAATGCATCATAAAGAAAAACCTTCCTGAATTGGGAAGTTATTCCCATAGCACCTTAAGAACCATAGTTCTCTGTATGTCAATAAAAACAAAAGCTTTATGAAAAAGAAAAAAAAATAGCCAGAGCAAGCAATCTTTTCAAATTGATGAAGACATCATATGGAAATAAAAAGTCATGAATAATAATCTTATGTGACCACAGAATCTGTATTTTCTTGTTACTATTTTAAATCCTAGATTCCAAAGGACTACATCAAAATGTAACTAACTTCAAGTAATAAAGTTTTTGAAGAAATCCTAGAGAATATTTAATCTGGGAGTTTCCACCTGTATCTCAAAGTATGTGATTGTATCAGATATTCCTGCTACTAGTCAGTGATTTCCAGTAACAAGGGGAAAAACACTAACTCACAAAGAACAAGCCAAGCCCAACACCTGCTCCGCGTGTCTTTTCTTCAACAACTTGTATTCTTATACTCATCTATTTCTCTGCTTCTACCATGGACCACTAAAGTTAAAAATCAAAGTTGGAGCAGTGTTTTGAAGAGTCCTTGCTCTAAACACTGAAAACTATGTTCAAATCTTGTCTCCATTTCTTATTAACCATATTACCTCATTTCCTCATCTTGCCTCATTTCCTCATCTATAAAATGGGGACTAATTGCAGTAACACTTGACCCCATGGGGTTGCTACAAGAATAAAACTGATAGTCTACAAAACATTACAGTCATGATACAGAGTAGCAGTCAACAAATAGGACACTAATGATGGCAACAACAAAATAAAGGGAAACAAAATCAGATACAGTATCTTTTCCATAAGACTTAAGAAAAATTAAACATTTAAATATTGCCCTGCACATTTCTCATTTTACATAGTAAACTGAAAGTCTTCAGGCAGAAAATGCTACCCTTCATTTCTAAACTTTTTGTTGATTGTCTCCTCACTTGTTTTAAGCAAGTAGTTGGCATACTTTTATTTGTGGCCTTAATTGTTCTGCCTCTATAAATTAATCCAAAAAATTTTAATTTGCATAATTAGTTATGAATACCTTTAAGAATTTTACACCCACTACGTGTTAAATTCTTATTTTTAAAACATACACACACATATACAGACATATATAAAACATATGCATTTAAAAATCTAACACTCCTTAGCTCTGATTGATGAAATTATGATTTCCTTTTCTGCTGACCCCTCCCCCCATGTTGTTTTCCTCTGGTTGAGTTGTATTTCACAAATTGTTTTTTATAACAAATATATATTTAGTTTGTATGCTTTGCTCTGACCTAAGCACCATATAGTTCACTCTAAGATATACAATATAAGTCAGCA